GCGGTGTATCCTGCCTGGTATACTCTTAGAAATAGGGCATGACGTTGACAAGTCCACATAACTCTTAGAGAGACCTTTGAAATGTGTGTCCACCGATGCTTTGAGACCATTTCTTCCCCAAATATAATCTTGTAAATTATGGTCCTAGTGGTTTTAATGCCTACTCCCTCACCCTGCCTCTGGGATCTCTTAACACGTGGGCCAGAGGGAAGGATAAAACGGAGGAGCTGGGAGAGGGCAAGTGTGAATTTCTAGGCCACTTCAGAGTGACTCCAGGATAGTATTGGCACCTCTGAGCTTCCCAGCTGGGTGGGGAGGGGGGTGTGCTTGGGCACATCAGCATCACCAGGAGCCAGTTTGACACTCTCAGGCCCCACCTCTCACCTCCTCAACTGGTTTCCTGGAGGTAGATTCCGCAATTCAGTGCCTCATCCAGCCCGTCCAGGTGGCTTGCATGTGAGAGGCATGTGAGGCATTGCTCTGTGGTGGTTATATTGCACTCCATTTGTGTACGATGAATTGAAATGCATTCTGCTCTCCTGTACAACTAAGTAAAACAAATAAAAAATTCAAAGAGCCAAAATTTGGTTCCAGTTCCATTCTGTTAGCATCGCCAGTTCAAGTTCTGTTCTTTTGGCCCATTTCATTCGGACCTGCGGACCTGCGTTCTCTCTCTCTGGCCTTTCCAGGCTTTAGTCCTCCTTAACACCTCCTGAATCTGTTTCTTTTATTATTATTATTTTTTCTTTGTTTTAGAGGTTTCCAAGTAGGAAATTGCCCACCATTTCATCCAGGCTCTCTTTTCTATTTTAAATTGGTTGTATAAGAATGATGAATATGAAAATTTTTTAAAGAGTGAAATAAAATGTTTTCCAAAGGCAGTTTCTTTCTGAAAAGTAAAGCTTGTTAAATTTTGGAATCTTATTACTGAAGGAGTTTCTCAATCCTATTTTTTAAAAAAACTTTCTCTGTGTGAAGGAGTTCTGTGCAATATTAAAGGGACAGAGGGATGAACCAGATGACTTATCAACATTCTTTGCAGTATAAGAATTTTATTGTTTAATAAACCCTAAAATTTTAAGAATTAAAAGTGGATTTAATTTTTGGTAATTTTTATGATGGTGCATAGACTCCAGTAGTGTTCCTGTATCTTGCTGCTAAGGTACTGCTTGAAAAAGTACTTGTTAATAGTGTTTGTTAATTATTCATCTGTACCGTTGACCAGTTTTTAAAATTGAGTCTAAGGCTATTAATTAAACTGTTGAACCATATAAAATTGCATGTTTGCCCCTATTTTGGAACGTTTGTATGTTTCAAAACCTTAGGTTTACAAAACATGATTTTTACTTTGGTCATCTGATTTAAATTTTCTACTATTAAAAGCATTCCAAGCCAGGCGTGATGGCACACATCTATAAGGCCAACTACTCAGGAGGCTGAGGCAGGAGGATCTCAGGACTGAGGGCAACTTAGTGAGGCCCTGTCTCCAGATACAAATGAAAAGGGTTGGGTAGGGCTCAGTGGTAGAGCACCACTGGATTCAATTCTGCAGTCCTGCAAGCAAAACAAAACATTGCATTTATACTAAAGAAGAAACAATAAGCAGAACCCAGTAAGAGGTTAGCAAGAGTCTCTTAGTTTCTTGCCATGTCCCCCTACATAAACCAATTGAGATTATTCAAAGAAAAGCAAATATAGGAATCTATATTTAATGTTGAAAATAGGGACTTGTCAAACATATTAATTTGGAGCGATTTTTGTCTATTAAAATTTGAACTAAACTCAAGAACTGTGTAGTATTATGGGAAAGATGAGTGGAGAAAATTCTAAGAAATGTCTAGAAATTTCTAGAAAGCTGAGTTGGCTCACTAGGTGGAGTATGAACATGCCCTGATTTTGTGGAATACTCTCTGAATATAGAAGAATGGAGTAGAAACAAAAAATGGAGTTTTCTCATAGCTGTAGACTTTGAGCTAAGAACAGCATCTGGACCAGCAAGCTCATGGCCTGGTCCCATGGTCCATGGATCGCTTGGGTTCATGGGCCCAAGGTATCTTCTCTCAAATAATCTACCCAAAGAGGGTCCAGTTCTGCTCCACGCAGGGGAGTTTTTGGAATTAGGGTAGAGATCTTTCTCTACAAATTGGTTTTTCTTCCCATTTGGTGAAACTGGCCTCTCTCTAAGGCTGATTTCAAAATATCAAGAAAATGTGTCCAGATAGAGATTGTCCTCAGACCTGCATCCCTCCCTGTCACCCCAGAGCTGCTCAAAGACCTAATCATTCTGACACCCAGTTCTTCTGCTTGCTTTGAAAACTTCATTAAAATAGAAGAAGGAATGACAAGTTTAAGGATAGTATAAATAACTTCTCTGCATGTTTCACCTGTTGTCTCTGTTACTTTTCTCTCTGTAAAGAGATTTTTTTTCCAGAATTCTTTGAAAGTGAATTGCTGAAATCATGTTTCTTTTCACCCCTAAACACGCCGGTGTTTATTGCTATTACTTTAGTGTTAAGAACAAGGACATTCTCTTACATTACCAGTACCTGTCAAATTCAGGAAATTTGATGTCCACAAGTATTTTGATTTCTCTGGTCTATAGTGTGTGCCTGTGTTTTCCCGACAGTCTCTTCATACATATTTTTCCTGGTCCAGGATCCAGTCCAGGACTGTGCTGTGCATTTCATTGTCTGTGTTCTCTTGGGCAGTTTCTTAACCTTTATCTTTGATGATGATGACAGTGTTTCAAGTGCAGGCGATGTTTTTGCTACGTCACACTTTGCTGTGTCTAGTATCTTAGAGATTAGATTCAGATTGTGCATTTTTGGCAGGACTGCCACATAATGAGCTGGGTTCCCTGTGCATCACTTCAGGGGTCATCTGACCTCTGTCCTGCTATTGCTGTAGTGAGTTTTGATCACTCCATTAAGATGACATCTTCCAGATTTCCCTATTGTTTAAAAAAAAAAAGTTTTTCCTTTTATAAAATAGTGAGTGCTTTGCAGAGCATACTTGAGATGATCTACGTATTGTTTCCTCATGAGACTCACCTGCTGGTTATTCATCCCCTTTTCAATCTGGCCTGTGTCAGTTGTTGTGGTTGCAAAATGGAGATTTTCCACTGATCGCTGTTCGTTCTACACGTATTAGTTGCTTTCATACATTCAGAAACACTTTGCCCTCATCTGTTGATCTTTATTTCTTCAACGCTGGTATAGACTCAGGGATTCTTACTTAGTAGGTTACAATCTATTACCACCATCACTGTCCCCTGTCTGGCCATTGGGGGCCTCTCAAGTCACCTCCTGTGCCCCGCCTTTTTTCTCTCTTCTTGGTACAGAGGTTTGAACTCAAGGGCACTCACCTACTAAGCCACATCCCCAGCCCTATTTTGTATTTTATTTAGAAATAGGGTCTCACTGAGTTGCTTAGCGCCTTGCTTTTGCTGAGGCTGGCTTTGAACTCATGATCCTTCTGCCTCAGCCTCCCAAGCTGCTGGGATTACAGGTGTGAGCCACGGCACCCTGCATCTCCTGTGCCCTTTTTTTTTTAATGTTTATTTTTCAGTTATAGGTGGACACAATGTCTTTATTTTACTTTATGTGGTGCTGAGGATCAAACCCAGTGCCTCACGCATGCTAGGTGAGGGCTGTACCTCTGAACCACAATCCCAGCCCTCTTGTGCCCTTTTGATGTGTCCTGTCATTTTTTCTTTTGTTACTTTCCTTCCTGCTGATGTAAGAATATTCTAGGTTTATCTTAATTAAAGTTACTTCTTCAAAGAATTCTACTTCTTTATATTGGCAAGTGGTGTTAGAGGCCAGTATCTAGGTACTGGTTAAGTCCCATGGGGAAACGTCTAATGCTGCTCATGCCAGAAAGGAATAGCATATGGGACAGCTTCTAAGACCAGTTTACAAACTAGGATTCAGTAAGTCTGTTTCTTCCTGAGTTTATCTGTGGATAAGGCAAAGATTATAATGTTAAATAGAAAACAGCCTAAGACATGTTTTGGTGTCACAGTAGTGACTTTGGTCTGTCTAGCTGATAGAGAAGTTGAAAACCTTTGTTCTGATTGCTCCTGATTTGAGGAAGGGGTAGAGCTACCACGCCCACACCTTAAACACTGTGCGTGCCACTGGTGATGGGAACGGTGGTCCTTTCCACCATCCTGTTGGCTCATGTGTCCAGTCCTGTCCTCACCTCTCCCTGCTGTGTGCTTTGTCCCTGGGTTCTCCTGTTCATGCTCACTGTTTATCCTCCTTACACACACTTTATTTCCCAGACAATTAAATTTATTTTTTTTAAAGGTTGATGTGGTTTTTTTTTATACCTTTATTTTATTTATTTATTTTTATGTGCCTTGCACATGCTAGGCAAGCGCTCTACCACTGAGCCCCAGCCCCGACCAGCTATATTTTTTGATCTCTGATTCTCGCAAATTATTAAAATGAATGACTTTAAACTGGGTTCATTGTACATGTAGCTCATTGAGGTTTTTAGGAATGCGGAATTTGACCAAAGTCTGGCCTAGGGAAATCTTGGCAGGATAGGAAGTATGGAAAATAATGATTATGCTATAAATGCGCTATCTCCATTGTCTCATACGTATTACCAGCTTTTAACTCATCTCTATCTGGTTGATACAAATGTGGTCGTTATAGTTGTTTGTACCTTTGAGAAGGTGTATTATACTTGGAGTGTTAATTTTAACGACTTTTATCTTTCTCCATCTTTAAATTTCTGAATTTTAAGTAGGGAGTGTTCACAATGTTACAAATAATAAAAGAACAAAAATAATTCCCATGTTAGCTAGCAAGCCAGGGTTCTTTAATTCTTTAATTTTCTTTAGTTCTTTAATTTTCAGTTCTGTATCAGAGTAAATATTTTCTTCCCCCAAACTTGACTTTAATTGAAGTTTTGTTATTACAATTCTGTTTGGAATTTTTTGTTTAGAAGTATACTGATGACTTTTAAAATTTTTTTGCTTTTGCCTCTAGAAAAACTAATTGCTTATCAACGAGAATTTCTTGCTTTAAAAGAACGTCTTCGAATAGCTGAACATCGAATTTCCCAGCGCTCCTCTGAATTGAATAACATTGTCCAACAGTTCCGGAGTGTAGGGGTCGAAACAAATGGAAGTAAGGATGCGTTGAATAAATTTTCAGGTACATATATATATTTTTTTCATATTATAAAAAGATTGTATTCTCAGATGTTCTGTAGGTATGTTTCAGAAGTTGAGGAGGGCCGTCTATCCACCAGCATTCATCACCCTTTCTGAGAGAGAAATCAGCACCCAAAACATTCTTATTCTGATAAAATAATTTGTATTAATTGCTAAGTTTGATTTTAAGAAAGTACTGTTAAGTTCAATATCAGTTGTATAAACTTCATTGAACATATTGCATCTTTGAAAACATTCAAATTTAACTTTTTGTTTTTACAAGTATACGTTGTGACTAATGTTTAGCCTGGTTTCTGGAGGAATCTTTGAGCTATTTGGAGCAGTTAGTGGTCTTAAATCTGAATTATAGCAAGGGAGATACATGCTTTTGTAACAGACACTTTTGGGAGTAGCTGACCGTTCTTCTCTGAGGACATGAGGCAGGGGAGATGAGCACAGATGTCTTTGCTGTGTCCTGCTTTTGTTCTGATGATTAGACTGATGTGTGTTTATAACCAGTTGGCTCCAGATTTGTGTAGACTAACATACTTTCTCATTGAGCTTCTACTATTCTAAAAAGAACTGTGAGTTCCTTTCATCTTTAGATCTATCACCTTAACTTATTTTTAAAAATTTTATGTTCCTTGCTTCCCCTCCTTATGATGAATTTGTCCGTCACGGTAATGCTTAACATTATTGAATGGTATAGATGAAAAATAAACTTTTTATTTCCTTTATCTTTTTATGCATATTTTTCTTCTGAATTATTATTCTTGAGAGTACATTGTGAGCATTTTTACTAACATGAAATATACTTCAAAATGCTATTTTCAGTATGATCAAATACTATATATTTTTAGCTGATCAAATACCATAATATATTAAACATTTTCCTACAATTAATTAAATGTTTTTTTCCTGGGTGTTTTCCCCTAGCTTATAACTCTGTGATGAACATCTTTGTCTATCAATTGATCACATTTCTGGTAGCCCTTAAGTTATTTTTATTAGATTATGACTTTCTAAAAAACAGGATCTATGCTTTGATGACTGTTGATTTTCAAATACGTTAGCACCATTCCTGGAATTGGATAGAAAACAACTGAATAGGGCTGGGGCTGTGGCTCAGTGGTAGGATGCTCGCCTCGTACGTTCGAGACCCTGGGTTCAATCCTCAGCATCACATAAAAGTAAATAAGTGAAATAAAGGTGTTGTGTCCAACTACAACTAAAAAATAAATATTAAAAAAACCACTGAATATTTGTTGAGTACATAAAAGCTAAATTATTTTTTTAATTTATTTTTTAAATTTTAATTTATTATATATGACAGCAGAATGCATTACAATTCATATTACACATATAGAACACAATTTTTCTCTGGTTGTACACTAAAAGCTAAATTCTTTAAAGGGAAATTACTGAATAACAGGACAGAGTGTTTCTGGGATTTTGATGCTGTTTTAATATTATTGTTTAATGCACTGATTTAATAGGTAGAGATGACATATTGTAGTTTGTAATTGTTTCTTTACCCATAAGACTAAACTTGAATTTCACATATTTGTATTGGCATTTCTTCTGTGAGTTTTTGGTTTTGTCTTATTTTTTTAATGGAGTTGAGGCTACAAGTCCTTCCTGCCAACTTCCTTGTTTAAAGGTTAACACTATACTTTAATGAAAATTTGAAAGTCTTGCATAATGGAAATAAGATTTTATTTTCAGAAAAAATACATAAAAATTTGATAAAGTGTTAATGTGTAACAAAGGTGGAAGTCATCTATCAGTGGTCAGGGTACTTGGCATTGTTACATTTTCCTAAGTCTATGGCACACTGAGTCTGTTCAGTGAGTCTGACTGAGTGCAGAGGTGGGTAATCGGCATCCCACCTGTCCTGGTCCTGTGCCTTGGCTTCATCCACCTATTCATCCATATCCTGACTCTTGTTGGGAAAGTGTCCTTTTCATTTTGAATGGAGACTCATCCATCCACCAAGCTATGAAATTAGGAAAAACCTTTTTAGTTCTAATTCTCATAAATTTTTACTGCTGTTTTTATAAAATCAGCAACTTCTATAAGGTAAGATGTTCTGTGAATTAATAATACTTCTGTGTTTCAGGTAATACCCTAAAGCTACTAAAGGAGTTAACAAGCAAAAAATCCCTTCAAGTGCCAACTATTTATTATCATTTGCCTCATTTATTGCAAAACGAAGGAAGCCTTCAGCCTGCTGTGCAGATTGGCAATGGAAGAACAGGAGGTATGTTTATTTTCTTACTTCTTAGTCTGGTTGTCCCGCTGGTCTGAATTGTGACTTGGCATGTTATGTTGACCATGAGCAGTCTGGCAGGTCAAAGAAAAAAATTCTTTCTTTATCTGTGCACTTGGGGCTTACACTGGCCAGACGCCATGTTGAAAGAAGTTGGACCCTTTTCTTTGTAGATGAGAATAATATTGCAGAAAAAGATCAAGAGAAATCTAGTTCAGGCAGACAAATGTTTAAACCTTTGTAATTTTTCTGTTTTAAAAACTTGGGAGGTAGAGAGATGACTTTTCCTCTTGTCTTATTTCAACATTAATCGCTCTCATAGTGCTGCCAGGAAGGTGGTTCTTATGTGTGTCCTACTTTTTCTTACCAAGATGTCAGGGGCCAGTCCCTTTTATATAAACTTTCCATGGAATAATAGAAATACTTCAGTTGCTTCTTTTTATAATGTACTCAAAACATAATTTGTGATTTTTTTCTTACTTGGCAGGGCAACCAGAGCTGTTTGGACTACTTACTGCTTTCCTACTTTTATTCCTCCTTTTTGACATTGTTAACCTTTTCTTTGTAGTTTTAATTTATTTTTTAAAGAGATGGGGTCCCACTGTGTTGCGGAGCTGATCTTGAACTCTTGGGCTCCTGCCATCCTCCTGCCTTGGCCTCCTGCCATCCTCCTGCCTTGGCCTCCTGCCATCCTCCTGCCTTGGCCTCCCAGGAAGCTGGGACTAAGGTGTGTCCTCTACACCCAGCTCTTTGTAGATTTTGGAGTGCAGATTTTGCTCCCTTACAAATCTTAAGTGACAAGATGATTACTTTATGAATATTGAAATTCATTTTTGTGTGAATGTTTTTTGAAAAACTGATTTAGTCCACTCTTGATATAGTAAGAATCTTAAGTATTTTCCTGTCTTTTCTTTTTTGGTCACATTTTTTTCTCATATTGTTTAGTCTGTTACCATAAGCATTTATATTCATCTTGATTTAATTTTATATCTTTCTGTTTTATTAATTGTTTAAAATAACACGTCATCTTCCTGAGGAGGTGTAAACTCTTAAAATACCATGTTCAGACTCACTCACTTTTTCATTTCTTTATTAATTCAAGAAATATTTATTGAGGCCAGGAATTCTGCAGGTGCCAGATATATAAATATGAACAAGACATGTAGGGTACTCTAAATTAATTTTTTAGAATATTGATTGTTCATTATTTTTTGAAGCTGGTACTTACTGTACCTCTCCCTTCAACAGTTTCTATTTGGACAAGATGCCTTAGCCAAAATTGTGGGTTCATTGGTTTATACTGTATATTTTATTAGTAAGATAAATGAAAATGAAAATAGCAGTGTTTTTAAAGTCATTTAACTTTTCCAAAGTTTCTGACAGGTTCTTTTGTAGTAGCCTGTCCTTTATGAATGTGACGTTCACTTCCTTTTTGGAGGTACTTATTCCATTTTATTTGTTTATACATCTTTATTTCTTTACCATCTTAAATACAATAAAATCTTGTCAGACAGCTTTCCAACAGCTAGTATTCTTTTTTTTTTTTTTGGTATTGGAGATTGAACCCAGGGTGCTCAACCACTGAACTGCATGTCCAGTCCTTTTTAAAATTTTTATCTTGAGCTGATTGTAGTGGCCCATGCTAGTGGCTTGGGAGGCTGAGGCAGGAGGATGGTTAAGTTCAAAGCCAGCCTCAGCAACTTAGTGAGACAGGACTGGGGACTTGGCTCAGTACTTAAACACCCTGGGTTCAATCCCTGGTACCAAAAAAAAAAAATTCTTGAGATAGGGTCTAGCTAAATTACTGAGACTGGCCTAAAACTTGTTGATCCTCCTGCCTCAGCTTCCTGAGTTGCTGGGATTTACAGGTGTGCACCATCATGGCTGGTTCAGCAGTTAACATTCTTATAAAGCTGACACTAATTTTGAAAGAAAAAGCATACAGCTTGGAATCGGGGGTGGGAATGTGCCCAGATTTATGTGAAAGGAATTTCCTTCCTAAATTCTTAGGCAGTGGTTCTTTTTTTTTTTTTTTAATTGATTTAATTTTTTAAAATACATGACAGCGGCATGAATTACAATTCTTATTACACATATAGAGCACAATTTTTCATTATTTCTGTCTGTATATAAAGTATGTTCACACCAATCTTTTAGAGGTTCCAGGAAAGCTATCAGCCTCTGCTTAGAAAAATGCATAGTGAAAAAACAATTTTGTATGTAATTTTTGAGATTTTTAGGTTCTAGGGTTTCATATCTAGGGACTTATATTAAAAACTTCAGTTTTTGAGATCAAATTAAAACTACTGCTCACTAAAAATTCTGTTCTTCAGTGGTTAGGCTGACAAACTTCCCTTAGCAGCAAAGCCTTCCCCTGGCTGCAGGGGGAGGGCAGTGCTTTGAGTTGCTATTGACCCCTAGGAGAGGGTCAGGGATTCTTGTGTCCAGAACTAATAACTACTCACCCACCTAGCACCACACTTACATCTTCCCACAAAGATTTGTAAAAGCAGGACACAAAAACCAGGTGTGGAAACTACAAATGGGTAGAAGGGCATCTTCTTCAACTGGGAGTCCTCCAAAATCTAAGATCAGCACCATGAGTGATTTAATACTAAAAAAAATTTAGTTTATAGAATGGAATATGACTTAAAAACAAAACACAATCAGTGTGCTTTTAGAGGGATGTGAATATAAAACTTACCCATAAAATAATAACTATTATAAAAGAAACAGAAATCTTTGTGTTTTTCATTTCAGTGATTTAAAATTTCCATCAGGAGGTTGATGACGAGTAGATATATCTGAAGATAAAATTAGTGATCAGGAAGATTGAGCTGTTTGGTTCTTTTAGAAAGTCAAATAAGTACAGAAGAAAAAATTTTTGAGTTGAAGAAGCACCCAGGTCTTCATAATAAGGGCCTATTCAGTGAAGAGCAGGATGACTGACAAAAGACTCTTGTTAGGTTATCTACCAAATGGTGCTCCTGGTCAGGAGAGGACCACAGGTAATTCCTTTAAGTATTAGCTGAAGTTAAAGTCCATGAGCACCTCCATGTGCCAGGCACTCTGGTTTATAGAATTCAGCATGGTTCTTGTTTTTGTGGAGCTTTGGCATAGTACAGGATATATGTGTTGGTCAAATAATCAGTTACACCCTTTAGTGTAACTAAAGTGTATCACCCTTTAGTGATGTAAAGGGTGCTTTGAGAATGTAGAAAAGGGGCATCTCCCCTGATGAAGAGGTTTAGGGAAGTCTCAAAAATACATTTGTTCTGAGACTAGTAGAATATATAGTTAACAGGTAAAGGTGGGTATTTCCTGTTGCTGCTGTTAACGGACTACTACACAAACTCAGGGACTTAACACACATTTATAGTCTTACAGTTTTGGAGGGTAGAAATCCTAAATTTAAGGTGTCTGGGGGTGTGTTCCTTCAGAAACCCTGTGTGATCGATCATCCCTTCCTGTGCTGTTCTGGAGTGCACAGGCTGATGGCATTCCTTCATCTTTAAAGCAGAGTGTCTTCACATCTCTCCTTTTGATACCACCTCGCATCCTCTCCCTCGGACCCTTCTGCCTTCCTCTAGTACAACCTCTTTGGTTACCATGAGCACATTTGGTAATCTAGAATAATCCTGTTTCAAGATGCTTAATTTAGTCAAATGTACAAAGTCCCTTTTTCATGTAGGGTAACATATTCACAAGTTTCAGGAATTAGGACATGGACATCTTTGGGAGGCCATCTATTCTACCACAATGGGAAAAAAATGAGAAGTGCACCATAACACTTCCCTGTGACAGAAGGGAGCGTGGAATATCCTAGAAAATGAAAGAAGGCCACTGTAGTTAGTGCAGAGTGAGGGGAAGCACAGGACAATGTGCTGCTAGAGATAGGAGTTCAGGCCCCAAATCACAGGGCTTTTCAGACCCGTTACAGGAGTTTGGTTTTCATCTTAAGAGCAATGTGAAGCAACTAAAGAGTTTTAAGTAGAACTTGACAAGGATGACAAAAAGTCTTAAGACTTAAATCTTGCAAGGTCCCATTTCCCGCAATGGGAAGAATGAAAGTATGGGAAGGAGAGGAGATGTGGGTGACCAGGTAAGAGGCTGTTCTGGGGGTACTGAAGAAGGATGGCCTCAGATTAGGCAGTGGCCAGTGGTTGTAGAGAAGGAAAGAAGATGGGGTTAAGGGCTGTTTGGACTATATGGCAGCATTTAAGAGAAATCATAGTTATGGACTGGATTTGTGGACAAGCCTTAGGTTTCTGGATGGAGCAATGCATGCTGGGTGCATTCACAGAGATAGGAGACAGTAGCAAATGGTTTGCAGCGTTGGTTTGTAAGAGATGCATTAAATATGGATATGTCGAGTTTCAAGGGGAAAGGATATGAAGTGGAGAAGTCACGCAGGCAGGTGAACATTTAAATCTCAGACTCAGTGGAGAAATCTGGGTTAGGTTTAATTTTAAGGAGTTTTGTTTATGAATAAGTGGTTATTGAAGACATGGATATAAATGAGATCACCTATGGCCCAGGACTGAACCTTCAAAGTTCTCCAGCAGTTAATTTCCAGTGAAAGAAGAGGATAAAGCCAGGGAAGACAGAAAGTACAACTGAGCAGTAGAAGACAAAAAATTGTCATGGAATATAAAGGAAGAAATGGGGGAGTAAATGACTTAAGTCAAACCATAGGGGAAACATGATGGGCTAAAAATATTAAGTAGCAATGAATATTTAAAAAGGAATATAATTTAGTTCAAATAAAGATAGACTAATTGAAGATTGGAAATGCCAAATCAAGATTGTTCTGAAAATGTTCTCAATTTTAAAGGAAATAAATACTAGAATTTGAAAACTTCCCAAGAAAATGGAAGAAAAGTGACATAACAATTGATGTCTCTGTCACATAATAACAGCACAAGTGGGGGCCTCACCAACCTTATGACTGCATTTCAGAGTGTCTAGTATATGGTCAGTTTTCATGTGCACAATTATTATTTAAATTGGAAATATAGTCCAACCCTTTGGTTCTGTTTCTCTTGGGTTCCTTGATTCTTCTCTAAAAGGATGATCTGACTATATTCTTCACTTTGCTGACATATTTCCCCTGAACTCTAACCCGTTAGAATACACACATTTTCTAGATTGTGAGTGATAGAAGATGGTAATGTCAAACAAGAGCAGACTGGGTTATGCTGTGGTATCCAACAACCTCCACATCTCAGTGGTTTACATAGCAAAGGTTTATTTAAATTTTTGCTGACAGTATATGTCCAGTGTGGTTGATAGGGTTTTGTGCACTCACTGATCACTCAGGGATCCAGGCTGATAGAGCCGTTGCCATCTTGAATATAACTGGCTACCCTGCCAAACAGAAAAGACATCCTGAAGGGTTTCAGACTGCAGATGCGGTGCTCAGACTGATGACTCTGAACTTTACTCCACCCCAGAAGACCAGGACAATTGCCTTTATTCTTTACTTTCTTTTTTTTTTTTTTTGTGGTCACTTTTTGAATTATCACTAGCATGGTTTACTCTAATTCTGTAAGTGTGACCAAAATTAGTACTTTCATTTTCAGTGTTTTTTGGAGTCCTAAAACTAAAGAATTTAAATTTCAGCTCAAAAACAGTATATTTGGGGAAAATGGCTTAATCTCAAAAACATGCCATTTTAAGCTTAAATAAACCAAAATGTAAGCAAAAACATCCCTAGTGAGTAGGGAATAGACATTTTGCATTATTACTTTATTGTGTGCTCTGGATCAATGTATTTTGCTTTTTCCATAAAGTTTTTGAATTACTTATGAGTTGGCATTGCCTAGGAACACTTCATATCATAGTTGTTACACTCTTAATCTATATTTTAAATATTTAAAATATATTTTTTTTAGATTCTAAGGTTGAGTATATGGAAATTTGCTTCCAAGATAACTCATCCTATGTTTTGGCATCTCAAAGTAACATGATCAAGATAGAAATCTTAATTTGGAGCGCTCTTCCCCTCAAATGTGTTGTTCTGGGTAAAAGATCCCCTTTCCACTTACTGAAGTCATCCTGGATCCCACTTCTTCCTCTCTCTCCTGGTCCCCTGGTGAAGGTCTTCAGACTGCATCCTAAATTCATCTATCTGTTCATTTTCAACTCTTCAGACATCCTAATTCAAACCACCATTTTTTCCTTTAATTAGTGCAGTAACTTCCTAACTGATCTTCCCAAAATACTCTTAAAGTTATGCTTTTACTTTTCATAACATTTGGTAATCTCTAAAGATTACAAGTTGGGTAATGTCACTGCTCAGCTTACAACTTGATAATGGCTTTCTCTTTGTTCTAGGAATTAAGACTGAATTTGTTCCATGTGACCTGACCCTTAACTAATTCTCTGGATCTAGGCTTATTCTACTTTAGATATATTTTTGCTCCTGATGTTTCTTTACTATGTCAAAAGCACTGTGCCTTCCCTATTGTCCCTCTTCTGGAACGTTCTGCCTCATCATTAATTAACCAGCTCAGTTGAAAGCAGAGAGGCCTTTCATGACCACACTGTCTGTTAGAGGCACCCCTCCATTCCTCACGCTGACATTATCACATTTGAGTTTGTGTAGCATGGATTATCCTCTAAGGTTATTATCTCTTTTCCCTCTTCAGCAGTGTAAGTTCTGTGAGGGCCGGGAGCTTATTTTTATATCATTCACTCAGATAATTTGTGCCACAGAACAGGTGCAGTCCCTTAACTCCTTTGTACTTAGTATTCTTACCTGCAAATCATGGTTGTAGACTAGTTGACCCATGTTCTTTAAGCTTCCTTCTAGTTTTAGGATTCTATGAATTCTAAGTATTTTGTAGCATCTCCAATTAATTGTTCCATAATTAAGACTAGATTATTTTTAACATCTGCAAAATACTTCTCTGTTGACTTATAGCACTCAGAATATTACGACTTTAAGATGTGAATTTTAAAAACTTACTTTGAAATGTAGTCACTTCTGTAGTAAATGTGTGTTCCGCAAATCACTGCAGCCTGCAAAGCTATGCAACAGAAAGAGAAGAATGGGATTAGGAAAACAGCACTCAAAACCAGGCAAACATAAAAAAGGTTAAAACCTAATGAAGATGGCAGCACAATTTTGTACATGTTAAGTGATTAAGTGATACATAACTAATATAATATGGAACTCTGCCTGAAAGGGACCTGCAGTTTGCTGCAGGCTATAGAGGGGTTGTAGCTTACAAGTTACCACAAACTGGTGGTGCAAGTTGCGTTATCTGAAATCTGAAGGAACGTGGAATCCCCGGTGTGGATGGGTATGGTTGACAGCATGTGAAGAACTGAGGCAGCTGGTAGAGGTTTGTGGTGTGTGCATTTTGGTACTTTTACAAAGTTTAGTTTCCTGAATTGGTTTAGCCTGGATACGGTTTTTTTTTTATTTTTATTTTTTAGTACTGAGATTGAACCCAGACTGCTTAACCACTAAGCCAAATCCCCAGCCCTTTTTTGAGACGGGGTCTCACTAAGTTGCTTGGGGCCCTGCTAAGTTGCTGAGGCTAGCTTTGAACTTATAATCCTCCTGCCTCAGCCTCCCGAGCTGCTGGAGGCAGCAGGCATGCACCATGGTGCCCAGCCTGCATACAGTTGTCTATTATTCACCTATATGAGTGTCTCAGGAGAAGTTGCATATAAGCAAATGTGAAATTCATGCTATGCCCATGTTGATCCCTAATAAATTAATCATGTAGAAATAAATTTGCAATCAAAACAAGCAGTTTAGTAGGATCAACTATAATTTTAGACCTTAAAAATGTTGCACAGATTCCTGTAGCACCCAGCGTTTCCCTATCCCTCATCTACCCGGCATAACCATGACCATGGTATCATGATCAAACCAGGAAATTAACACCAATGCCACACTATTAGCTAACTTTGGCTCTTATTCAGATTTTGTAATTTTCATTGTTTTTCTTTTCTAAGGTCCAGTCAGGATTTTGTATTTCCTTAAATAGTCATGTTTTCTCAGTCTTTTCCAATCTGGGACAGTTCTTTGTTTTCCATGACCTTGATGCTTTAGAGGACTGGCTGCCTATCTTGTGGACTGACCCCACAATTTGGAATTGTCTGATATTTCTTTTTGGTCAGGTTGAGATTATTCCTTTTGGCAAGAAAACCACAGAAGTGGTGCTGTTCCCTTCTCAGTGCATCATGGACTTGAAGTTGATATGTAAGACATTAATTTTTAAGGCATGTTTAGTGTTGCTGAGTTTTAGTCGTATAAAATTTTTCTGTTTATACTTTATAGCCATTCATTTTTAATGTGAGGTTGACTCTTATTTTTACCAGTTCTTTGACATTACACACACACACACACTCTCTCTCTCTCTCTGTCCCACCCCACCCCTTTATGGTTAAGCCATGTGGAACGTATGATAATACAGTATTATAGGTATGTTCTTGTATCCTTTGATTAATTTCTTTCTGAAATTGAAACTGAATCCCTCAATTCCTGTGAATTTGAAGTATTGTATTTTCAAAATGGTAGTATTTTTCTATTATTGTCCTTGTGAAGTCTTTTTATGTAATTACTGTATTGTTTTGTTTCAGTTTCAATAGTAATGGGGATTCCCACAGTGAAGAGAGAAGTTAAATCTTACCTCATAGAAACTCTTCATTCCCTTATCGATAATCTGTATCCTGAAGAGAAGTTGGACTGTGTTATAGTAGTCTTCATAGGAGAGGTAATTATTTGTCATTTTATTTTTTAACATATATAGTCTAAGAGTTAAAACTATAATTGAATATTCAGATATGCTTTATAAACAATTTTTAAAATGTGCTGAGTGAAGCTTAGGTAATATATGCTATCTGGTAAGTTAATGTAAATCTTGTGTGTTGTTTGCTCTAACTTCTTCCCTGCAGTTAAAGCCAGGAATGATAACTTTCATTGTCAGTAGGATAATATTATACACATTGATCATAAAAAAATGAATCCCCATTTCTAGCTCTGAGACCTAAATTGGAGTTGTGAAACTGAAGGAGGGTTTAGCCTAGGCATAACCCCAGCCTAGGCTAACCCCTATGAGGCAGCCATCATATTATTAGAGGAAAATCACTTGAATATACTTCTTCAATTTTAGTCTCCTCAAAAGATTTAGAGAAAGAATCTTTTTTGTCTGATACTACAAGGAACAAGTGCCCTGGAGTAAATATTTCCTTTATTATCATATCAAATTTCAGCCTGGGAAAAGGCTAAGGGTAACATTCACCTAGATGGCTTGCCTAGCATGCATAAGGCCCTGGGGTTTGATCCCCACCCCTCCGTCCCCAATAAAAGGTAAGAAAAAAGAAGGTGGGGGGCAGAAGATGGACATAGTATAACTATGTATAGTTCTGGACCTCTGATTCCCACTCCTTCAGGGTTCTCTGTCTCTTTAAATAAAAATGATCTTAATGTTTTCTTAATGAAAAAAGTAATATGCACATTATTTAAAACAATTACATAAATATGTAATGAAAACTCGCCTCTTACACCTTCATGTGGATAGAACTATAAGTATTTTTAAATGTGTCTTAAAGAATTTTTCCTATGACTTGTGTACACATATATGAGTGGATCATTCTATACATATTTTAATACCGTGAACATCTTTCCATGCTAAAAAGATTAAAAATCACAGCATCATTTTTAAAAACAATTTAAATTTTTTTTTAATTTAGACGGACACAATATCTTTATTTTATTAATTTTTTTATGTGGTGCTAAGGATCGAACCCAGTACCTCATGCATGTGAGGCAAGCACTTAATCTCTGAGCTACAACCCAAGCCTCATAGCATCATTTTTTAATGGCTAAAAAATACTCCATTGTATGGTTTCAATATGGATTATTTTTAAAAACTTTTTTTAGTTGTAGATGGACACAATACCTTTATTTTATTAATTTTTATGTGGTGCTGAGGATTGAACCCAGTGCCTCACATGTGTTAGGCAAGCACTCTACCACTGAGCTACAGCCCCAGCCCCTCAACATGAGTTATTTGATTGATAGGCCGTTTCTGAGTTTTTGCAGTTATAAGCAGTACTGAAATAAGCACTTCTGTAAATAAATTGTATACTTTTATAGTTACTGACTTGGAACTAATTTATAAATACAGATTGCTCTCAGAATCCATACAAATTAAAATATTCATAGATAGCCAGCATACCCTGTAGAAATTAAATCTGTTTATCTCCTTTCCAAAAGTCTGAGAGAGCTATTTCTTTCTTCCTGTAGTTCATACTAGTTTTAAAATATTTTTGTCAATTGGATGGGTTAAAAATAATACTTGACTTTTGTTAATTAGTATTTCTTTACTGAGTGGGATTAAATGTTGGTTTATGAAGTTTTATTTTGGATCATTTGTATGTATAATTATTTTATAAGCTTTGCTTATTTTTTTGGTTGTAAATTATGATTTGTAAGACATTTTCATATATGAAATATTTTCTCATTTGTTACTTGTATTAACTTATGATGTTTTGATCTGTTATAAAAGTTTTCCTTTTTAAGTAAGCAAACTGGCCAATCAAAAAGCAACTTGGTAATAGCTATTAAAATTAAAAACATACACTTTAACCCAACATTTTGCTTCTAAAAACAGACCCAATAGAAACATTTGCAAATACAGAAATACATTCAAGTACATAAACATTTATATAGCTCTTATATGTGTATTAATAAAACAGGTAAGGAAAGTAATCTCCTGTAATATACCGGATACTCTCACTAGCAAATAGCTTGAGAGTTGGGATTATGGACTGATGTCACTTTGTATTGCATACAATTTTATAAAATCAGAATTTACTTACAGTGAGCACATATTAATATTTAATTGCAAAAAAACCTTTAACTGTGAAAGAATCATTCTTACACACTTGAAAAATGATGTTCAGTTTACAGACAGAGCCTAATGTCCTTAGGATTTGAGACCCTCTTACTATCACGATTAATCTGGATTAAGATGCAGTATTATTGGGTTTGGATCCAGAGGGACTGTATCCTGGGCTGGATTCTGCTCATTTTTCTGCTTTTTTGAGCCTCAGTTTTCTCATCTCTTCAATAAGAGTGATGCTGTTGACTGTTTGGAGCTCATCGTTGTTGCAGAGGCACTGCGAGATCACACAGGGGAAACCTTGTAAACAGAAGAGGCTGTTCAGGCATTGGCAGTGTTCCCGTCTCTGAAGAGTCGTTTCTCCCAAATGCACTGCTTGAAATTCTGCATAGATATATAGACAATCAAGAAAATCTGAACAGAAGAATTAAAGAGTGCACTGAATTGCCTTTAGTCGGTTTAAAATTATTATTAATCACAGTGTTTGATTCCACCTTGATGAGTAGTTCTAAGCTGGGGCCTCAGTAACACTAGGAACAGGTGTGTGCTGTGTGGCTTTGAGGGTGACCTACATGTGGAGTTGTTTCTGGGCCTAGGTTTCCAGGCTCTTCCTGAGCCTGTATTTCCACCTGCCTACCTCACTGTGTTATCTGAATGTTAGTTTTAATCTGTCCAGAGCCAGATTAATCTGACTTTCCCAAACTGCTGCTTTTCCAGGTTTCCCATCTGCTTATGAAAGGATTCTTGTATACGGTGTTAATAGGCCTGTGCTGTGGTTATTCTACTTCCAGCTCATGATACAGATCCACAGGGCACATGTGTCCTCAGTTCTCTTCGTATTATTCCAAACTATTACTGCTGTATTCCCTTTCTTTTTCATCCTTCAACTCCCAGTTTATCCTCTTTTGAAAAGCCATCCTGAGTCTCCCATTTGAAATTAATCTAGGATAAATAGGCAGCTTTACCCAGGCAGGCAGGTGAGTAGAAAGACTCTTTGAGACTCTGGCATTTCTCTATTTTATGATTCATTAATTTCTATTATAATATTAATTCTTTCCTCCTGCTTGCTTTTAGTTTTGCTCTCCTTTTGCTTTGAGATAAATTAGGAATTTATATAAAGGCATGAATTCTCTCTGGTCCATTTTAATATTTGAGGAGAAAAATCAAGAATGAAAAACTGGAGATGCACATAGAAAAAGAGTTACTATCATCTTTTCCTCACATGACCCCCAGTTCTTTGTATTCTTTTTCGCTTGAAAGGGAGAAACCATAAGATGCCCCTCTGGGAGAAGAAGAGAGAAAAGTAATTAGTTGCCTTATTCCTTGTTGGTAATTTCACCCTTATTGATCCCTTTGGCATGTGATGAGACATTTATAGAACATACAGAGTGTTAAGCAATACACTGTTGCATTATTTGAAAGTCGCTGACCCATTCTGAACTTGAGAAGGGATTGACAGGAATGCATTCTATCTTAAGGCTCCTTGGTAGGATCCAAGTGTGCTATTCAGATTTTAAGATTGTATCATTCCTGTGTTTATTTTTCCTTAGAGTTTAATTATAATTTTTATATTCTAATATTTTGTAAATCTCATTTTTTTGTTTTTATTATATATAGAAAATTTCTTATATTGTTTTTTTTTTTTGATTTTTCAGATTTATTTGGTCTGTTCTCAACTCTGTCACAGGATTTTATGTTACATTTTCTTAATGCATTATCTTATATTTCATTGTAGTCCATTGTCTACTCTTTTGTGTTTTATATTTCTTTGGGAATTTAGAGAAATTTGAATTTTTTTCACTCATTTATTTATTTATTAGTGCTTTATAGATATGCATAAAGGTGGAATACACTGTGGTATATTTATGTATGTACATAGTGTAATTTTGTCAGATTCATTATTTCCAAAAGTTTGAATTTTTATTGTAGTCATTACTTTGGTACAAAAGCCTTTTAAAATGTCCTTTGCTCTAATTCTTTACATTGACTTCCACTAAATTGTTTGTTCAGCTTTAAATTCTACACTTCTTTTTTTTAAAAATTTTTTATTGTTGGTTGTTCAAAACATTACATAGTTCTTGATATATCATATTTCACACTTTGATTCAAGTGGGTTATGAACTCCCATTTTTACCCTGTATACAAATTGCAGAATCACATCAGTTACACATCCATTGATTTACATATTGCCATACTAGTGTCTGTTGTATTCTGCTGCCTTTCCTATCCTCTACTATCCCCCTTCTTATATTGTTTACACCAATTTTATCATGATCATTTTTATTTGTTCTACTTAGTTGTATGTGACAGCAGAATGCATTTCAATTCATCGTACACCAATGGAGTGTAACGTTTCAGTTCTCCGATTGTAAATGGTATAGAAATGCACCATTTATGTCTTCATACATGTACCTAGGGTAATAATGTCCATCTCATTCCACCATCTTTCCTATCCTCATAACTCCTCCCCACTCTCTCCCCTTTGCCCAATCCAAGGTTCCTCCATTCTTTCCATACCATCCCTCATCATAGATCAGCATCCACTAATCAGAGAAAAACGTTCGGCCTTTAGTTTTTTGGGATTGGCTTACTTCACTTAACATAATATTCTCCATCCATTTACCTGCAAATGCCATAAGTACTGTCCTAAGCTCTAAGTGTTATTTAGATTTCTCCAAATGTTCCACTGCTCATGACCTGACACTCTTGAAGATTACTGGCTGTTTTATGGAATGTCTTTCAGTTTGGGATTGTCTGGTGTTTCCTCATCATTGTATTCAGGTTGTATCATAGAAGTGAGGTGGTGTTCTTTTTCAGGGCCTTGTGTTAAAGGCTACATGATGTTGACCCGTCTCATTACTGGGAAT